CTATCTATCTATCTATCTATCTATCTATCTATCTATCTATCTATCATAATTTCAGGGGAAATAAACAAGCTTTCCAACAATATAAGATTTATTACAAAGAAGCATTGTTGCAATAAAGAAACAATCAACCAAACACATATTTATTTATTTTTTCTGCTAAGAATAGTTTCTCTTTTAATGTGAAGCACTGCTTTTTGTACTATTATTACTTAAATAAATGGAAAATGTTCTGTGTGATACCTGATAAACCGGATAGGGTACTGGTGTCCCCTCTGGAACGTCCAACAACGTGTTCTCAAACGGGCCCTTCTTTTCATCCAAATTCGTCCCAGCAGCCTATCACAGCGCAGAAAGACAGGTTCAAATGTCACTGAGTACAGTAGAGGCAAGGTAAAGCTAAACTCGAGCTGACTTTCCACTTCACCTCTGTGTGCTCACACAAATTTAGTCAACCGTTGAGGGCAGTTATTTATTGAGCAAAACTAAATGACAGAGGCAGGATTCTTACACTCCTCCGGAGAATAGAACAAAGTCTACAAACCACTAAATTTCAATCATTTTGTCTTTACAGAAACTTCCCTGCACTTCAAATACGCCAGATGCAACATTAAAACACTTTGAGACGTTTTGCAGATCTTTTGACAGGTTCACGCATTCGAGTATTGATGATGAATATGTATTGGGGGGGGGGGGGGGGGATGGACAGCAGCGGCAGCAGTTGGTGGTGATATGTACTCACAATGCTGAACAGCAATGGGAGCAACAGCAGATGCACCATGGGTGTCATTACCACGGCCTGTGAAGGAGGAGGAGGAGGAGGTGGAGATGTGGGAGATAAAAGACACAAAAAATGTTGAAGAGGCAGAGGTGATATAACAGAGATTTGATATAATTAAACATTAAAAGCTGAAAACAGTGTTAATCAGTCTTTGTGCTGCTGATTCACAAAGACAGCGGCCCAACAAAGAAGACGTGTCCTTGAGTTCACACACGTGAACACTATCTCCCTGAGCACACCTTGAGCTGTACAGGAGCTTTAAGTGACTCCACCTTCACAACCAGGTGAATCAACGACCTGAGCGCGGAGGAGAAACTGAAAGCCAGCACTTTTTTTTTTCTCCACCAGCTGTTGCTCCTTCTGATCCTGCAGGATATTAGTGCGACAGCAAAGGTCATTACAGAGTGTGCAGCCCTGAAGACTTTATGACAGGCTCTGAGTCCAAAATTGAATTACAGTATACACTCTCTTTCCATGTGTGAAATGAGTGAGATTTGAGAAACTGTGGTAATAATGTGTGGAGAAAAAAAAAAAAACAAAGCTCCAATTTGAATTTACTACATCTACATGTCTAAATGTACTTTATGCCACACCTAAATCAAACCCCAGACAGTTCAATGAACGATCCTGCTTGGATTACCATTAAAACTGCTTTACTGTGTCTAAACTTAAATTTAAATGTAAAAAAAAACATTGGTTTGACCAAGATGTGCTTAACCATTACATCAGGAATGTGTTAGGTGAAAGGGTTGAGTGACTATTTGGGTGAAGGTGACATTGAGTCGTGGCTAAATGACCTTTTGTTGCACAGCACACTTTTTAACAACCAATTCTCTGCTAACATTTCTTCACCAAAACCACTGTTTTTGAATGGTTTTCTGCCGGAATATATTTGTTTCCATAAACTAAACCACATCTTTCACTGGGATGCCACTTTCTTAACTTGCATTAATGTTTATCTAAAAAAAGTCCCAGTTTAGAAATTATGTTGTACATTTTTTTAAGCTGAAAAAACTGGGATAGGAACAACTATTACCAACTGCTTTAGAGCCCACTTTTTATTGCTAACCACAATAACTAAATAACTTTAATCTGACAAAATCTGAGCATGTTTTGTGACTAAATTAGGTTATTAATATGTACAAACGTCAGCTGTTGATATCAACCCCCTCAAGTTTATACTAAGGGGTTAATGTTCTCCAATGCTTAGGCCTAACCAAAGTAAAAAAAACAGCATTCCTGCAATAATCTAAAAACACTTGAAACATTTATCGCACTATCTATGAAAATCAACACAAGCTGACCTGTTTCTTTCTATAAACAACCTCTCCTAAAAAAATCCCCTCATACATTACAACTTGGAGACAGCGGAGGAAAGTGACTTACCTTTACAGGAGAGATCGAGCAAGTCACTCGTCAGACCTCATAGGGATCTGCGCAGATTCATGCTGTCTGGTCAAACGTTAACTAAACCTTAACCAGCTATGTTTTATTGGTTCTAATGATTGTCTAATCGCCCTGCCCTTACACTGAGCAGGCCAATGGAGAAGCTGCTGCCACGAGAGACAGGAAGAGATGAGCAATGAGACATACAGAGCTATAAAACACAAAACTATTATCACACAATAACAGATTTTATATTGTAGCTTTAATGCTCGTGGTTTATTATAAGGAAAAAAAGAGAATCAGTCGGCTGATGGAATAACGCTGAAAAAAAAAGTAATTTTTCAACACATGGGCAAATTATGAACAAAAAACAACTTCAAATAAAAAAGGTTTGTGGGAAAAAAAAAAAGAGACTATCTACTGAAACTTGCAGTTCAGTGTTTAACTTTACTAATTTCCTTTCAGACTTTGACCTCTGCGCATTTCCTGTCAAATTTTCCATTAGTAGCACACCTGATAAGGAGCTGCGTGTGAACAATGGGACTAACAGATTACTCTGACAGTCCATTGCTTCATAAGAATACAAAGCTTAGGTCTTATCAGGTCAAGGCGCAGATGAACCTTTTTAAGCAGCTCATGAGCAACTATTGAACACTTGTTAGAAGCATAGTCTTCAAAACGTCTTAAATTTGTCCTAAAAATGTAGGAAACCTTTAATATGGTTTTAAGTCTGATTGTATTTGTCATGATCAGAGCTCAGCTGCCATTATGCTCCGTGCAGCCTGAACAACATGCATCATTCAGAACTACTTGGCCATGACATTTGTGTAAATCTGCAGGAGAGCAGCCTGCAAAGTGACTCAGTTTGACAGACCGGCTACATAACCAAAACTAGATACAGCAGGAGAAGAGGCTGGGTTATGTAAAGGAATGGTCCATACATGACACAGCCAACACCATCTGCCTTCAGCATACACAAAACACAATGCACGGGCTCCTCTCAGCGTTACCTTGGCAACACATTTTCTCACGTTACGTTTCAGACTGATGGGAGTTCAAGATCCGAGCTCTAAAACCCAAATCTTTGATTAGTCCCCAAACTGTTGTAGCCACTCAAACTACAGAGACAAAGGGTTAGTTTTTGTCTAAATGTTCAGTTTTACCATCACTGCCTGACTCATCTTTTCATCAGTTGTGTTGCCGTTTCACTTTTTGCGTGCTCAGATGAGTCACCCGTTTTAATTCCTCAAAAACGAGAATACAGACAAAAGAGTTGTCCTTTCTCCCAACCAAAATGTCACTTTATTTCGTCGAGCGGAGCTGAATCTAGTGAGACTGTCATAATCAGCGTTTTATTTACAATACTTTACATAATATACAAAAGCATGATATCAGACAGCACAAGTCACTTTAAACTGGAATGGATGGAAGTCAACAAATTTGGCGAAACACGAGGAGAAAAAAAAAAAATCACAAACAACTCCTTTTCTTTGTTTTCCATCAGTGGATCACTGAAATATTTCTGCTCCAACAAGTCCAACACACATTAGATCTGCTTGCAGCCCACTCCGCCTGTAGCTGCAAACCCCTCCTGAGCTGTGGAGGATGGATGGTGAACATCGTGAGGACCGACCCACCCAACTTGAAGAGCGTCCCAGCTCTGTCCACAGATTCCCACCTGCAGGCGAGAACTTGTTTAACTGCTCAAATCTTCTGTCGTGGATCTGGAACTGTTCACAACACGGAGAGATTATGGCAGGACTTGGATTTGAGCCAGAACGCCATGCTGGAATTGTTCTTGGCGACCATCTTGTCGAGGAAACGTTTCGCCTTCATGGGAAGGCTCTCACGGCGTGCGCTACAATGTACGTTCCTGCGACGTTTGTTGTCTTCTTTGGAGTCCCGGCGCAGACGCAGCTGCCGCACGATGCCGTAGAAGGCCTCCCAGACGTTGTGCTGCATGGCCGTTGAGGTCTCTATGAACTTGCAGTCAAACACAGCGGCACAAGCCCGCGCCTCTGAAACAAGGAGGATATTGGAAGTCAGCTGCTGGACGATATATCAAATGTTTCCTTGTGTGATATCAAAAATGACTTTCATAAAAACTTCCATGGCTATTTTTTTTTTATCTAATTCACTGGGAGCTCCTTTTTCCCAGGCACTTCTAATGCATTCATTCCTGCCGCTGTCCTAGCGCTGAATTAAACATCATTACAATGATTAAAGGAGGATTTTAAAATATCGCAATAAACATTACACATTGTGATTTATTCTTTTTGTATTTTCTTCCAGCTGCTCCCATTCTCAGGGGTCGCCACAGCGAGCAAACTCACATGAAGACATGTCAATTATTTTATGACGGATGCCCTTCCTGACTGACCACCGAGCTACCACAGCCCTCTGTGTGGAGCAGAGGGCTGCCATCTAAGGGTAGCAGATATAGGGTGGGCGCTATGCTCAAGGGCCCACAATAGGGAAAATCAGGGTGGAGTCACACCCAACCTTTGTTGTAACAGGGTATTCAAACTGACGACCTAAAATGCTCACCTTAACCTTTGTGCCACTACTCCCCCAGATTAAAGGGAAATGTAGCGATAAAGCTCCAAAATGTTGCAATATTATTTTTGTGTCATATAGCCCAGCCCTAACTTAAACAACCCATACAGCTGATGCGTATACTTACCACTTGTTGACACCTCTCTGCGCCGCACCAGGTCACACTTGTTCCCCACCAGGATAATCGGGGTGTGGCGGGCAGGGCGGAGGCGGCGCAGGGAGATCCTGAGCTCTGCAGCTCGCAAGAACGACGCCCGGTCAGTTATGGAGTACAACAGCAAGTAGGCATCGCCTGTCTGCACATAGCGCTCCAGGGTCCAGTCGTTGTCCATCTGCAAAGCGCAAAGAGTTCAGGGTGAATGAGGGATGTAGCAGCATCCACACGTGCAGCATCCTGTGCATCAGTCTCACCTCTGCATCCCATGAGTCCAGCAGAATTATGGTTGCAGTCTCTCCGTCCACTTCAATGTCCTTTTCACACACTTCATCTGAAATTAAATATGAAATAAGGTATTTATTTGGTAAATTAGAACAGCTCTAAATGCAAAAGCACAACTTTATTTGAGCGGCACCATGAAGTTAATTCAGTATTAAAATGTTATAACCAGATGGACTATCTGGGAAGTTATCAACATGATTTTTTTTTATATAAACTAAATATTTGTTCATATTTTTAAGAGTTAAAAATGAAAAAAAAAAAAAAGATCCACTGTTGTGTAAAACTTTGGAGCAGCAGTATGTCGAGAGTCCTACCTCCACACAGCTCGCAGTCGCTGTCCATGCTGTCCGCCGCGCCGGCGAAGATGCTCGCGAACGCGCTCTTCCCCACCCCGCTGGCCCCCAGCAGCACCACCCTGTACGGGCCCCCGGGCTCCGCCGGCTCCCCGGCCGAGTCGCAGGAGATCACCGAGTCGGAGGACGACCAGCTCCCGCGGCCACCGTCCGACTCCCCGGCGGAGCTGGTGCAGGACTTGGAGCGGGAGATGCAGGCGGGGACCCGGGCCAGCAGGAGGTGCCCGCCCGGCTCGCAGACGCTCCACCGGTGGAGCTCGGACTGCAGGCGGAGGCTGTGCCGCCGCACGCTGGACAACATGACGCCGATCAAAAGTCAGGAAAACAAACGCGCCAAACAAAAACAGATCTTCTAAAAAAAATCTATTTGACACTTTTTAGTTGACTTTGCGCGAATCTATGACCAAAGATATAAAAATGAATTCCCTACATGCTGCTCCCTCTAACAGAGAGGTCCATCCGAGCGCCTCTTCCAGCTGGTCTGTGTGATCCTCTGATGGGGGGCCCTCAGGTCTTTATGAAGGGGGCGGGGAGGGGCTCAAGTCCACACGGAGCCCCCACTCTCTGTTTATATTCTGACTGAATCAAATATCTCTAACTAACTCTTAGTGGTTTAAAATACAACGTGTGGCGTTCAAAGATGGTTTTATTTCTTAATAATTAACTCTTAATTTACTTTATAATACTCACTTTTTATTGTAAAATATCAATTGGTTTTAATGAATTGTTTAACTGGAAACCAAATAAATATGATAGAATTGGAAAAAATAAATAAATAAAGGGCATAATATGCTTTAAACTAAATAGATAGTTCATGTATTTTGTTTTAAAGAACAGTTAATATCTTACCTGTTGCAGATAGCTCTTTGAGTAACTGCAATTTGGAAAAGCTGTTTACTTCAGACAAGTTTAACACGGGCTGCGTCTGGCTCCAGAGGTTTCCAGAGGTGCACAGCCTTATAGCTTGAATATTGAGCAATCCATCTTTTTTACGCTCGTCTCCTTTCAGACCACAGAGCTGGCACCTGTGTTCAAGAGCACTAGAGCTGTATTTTGGCACCTGCAATGGGGCTCTTGTTGTTCTTGTTCAGGCCTCAAAACCACGCTGATGATAAGTATAATTAAAAAAACGAAACAAAAAACTGGTCCAAATCTGCCTATCTTCAGTTTTAAAGTCCAATGGATTAAATCCTGAACATGGGGGCGGCTGCCAATGCGTACAAAGTGAGTCGAGGCAGATGTTATCTGGAGTCTTAAAAAAGCAACAACAACAACAAAAAAGTCTGCTCATTTGCGGCTTATTAAAAATACAATAATTAAATGGCTATTCATGGGAGTTTTATAAAAAAAAAAGTCAGTTTTGCTTGGGTTTTTATTCATCAGAGTGAGTTACCAGTAATCTACAGGGAGAGTTTTTCTTTGTTCTGTTGTTTTTAAATCTGATTGGACTCTGACTGTGTGAATCACAGGACAACAGTCTGAGCTGCGTTATGCTGCATCATTTTTACCGAAACGCTGACTTTACGTTCACAGCAAAGACAGAGTGCAGACGACGGCTGCAGCGCCGTTTTACTCTGATGGAGCGATGAGATGAAAACCTCAGCCTTTGCCTCGACACAGGGCCCACTGCTTGCAAAGACTAGAATTCAGCAAGATGCAAGTCAAGTCTCGTCAAATTTATTTATAAAACAGAAGCTGTTACTGAAGTGCTTAACAATAAAATCGATGGCAGTAATTATAGAAAAAATAATAACAAAATGTAATTAAAAGCATCAAAAGAAAAACATAAAAAACACAAAACAATGAAAAACTAAATCACGCTGTGTTAAACGTCAGTGAAAACAGGTGTGTTTTTAGGAGAGATTTAAAAACTGAAAGTGAAGAGTCCTGTCTAATGTGGAGGGGCACATTGTTAGAGTTTAGGGCCCACGACTGAAAAGGCCCAGTGGTTTTTGGTGAAATCAAAAGCAACTGGTCAGATGATGTCAGCTCCCGAGAAGCAACATATGGTTGAAGGTCAACAGGAGAATTTTAAAATCAATTCTGTACAAGGAGCCAGTGAAGGGAGGACAAAACTGGTGAAATATGCTCTAACCTACGAGTTCCTGTTAAGAGCCGAGGAACATTTGTGAACTTTCAAGTAATTTTGAGTCACAAACCAGTCTACTGCAAGTCTCAGCCCAGTGAGATAAGCCCTTGATAGTCCAAGTCCAAGTTTCTTTGCACGAGCCACATAATCTTGTTGATGAGTTTTAAACATGCTCGTCAAACACCTGATCCAAATCTGAAACTGGAAACTAATAACGTAAGAGCGACTGCTGAAGTGGGGACAATATGGGCAAGGGTGAGCAACTAAATAACGTGCACGACCTAGTTATGAGCTTCAAAATATTTGGCTGTTCAAAACACAACACAACTGAAAATGTGCCCATTTTCACAGTTTTAACTGGTTTCCAGTCATCACTGCCCAGTGAGAAACCCCCTTATGTGGTCAGCCGCTGTCCTAAAACAAATCAAATCTAAAACATTTTGAAGGGATTTATGTAAACGCTATTTTTTATTTATTCTCGCTGCTGTCCATTTTGTATTACGCATCGATAAACTCAAATAGCAGCAGCAGCTAGCTGTAGCACTACAAATTCAGCTCGAGGCACTTCAGAGAGGAATATCATAACACAGGGCTATTCAACTGGTGGCCCGCGGGCCATTTATGACCCACAAGTGACTTCAATCCGGCCCACTTCATAAATTTTTTTGGGGGGGAGGGTGGGGAGGGGGTGTCTGAGTTTGAGTTTTTGGTTCTGTTAATTGCATTTATGATTCAATGCGATACAGTAAACAAATTTGAAAGGTAACAGATCAATGTAAAACTTGGTTTATTTACATAATGACTGTAATCGCTGGATGTCCGGCCCTTGAGCTGCTGGCTCTCAGAAACTGTGGCCCTCTGAGCAGTTTAGTTGAATTGCCCTGTCATAACACTTCTGCCAAAGTAACTATGAAACTGACAGCAAAGGTAAAGGTTTGAAATGTAGCATGAACTGAAAGTTTCTGAATAACTATTTAATCAACACCTCACAATATGTTCCTTTTCCCTGAAGTGAAGGATTTGCTCCGATTTCTGCAGATGGAAAACTACAAGCATCGTTCTTTACACCTAAACTCCTACCAGCTGGCAGGTATAGGAGAAGTTGGGAATTACTAAACGTAAAGTGGAACTGGAAACACTAAACTTTAAGAAAACGTTACAAAATTTTTGCTGGGATGCTGTAAATGCCTCATGCTGCTAACGAAGTTATTTGATGGAATTACATCTTAATGGATCAGATATTAAAAGAAAGTGGGAGCTCTGCTCAAATCTGCACTGAAGTTCAGTGAACGAGTTTCTCACCAGACATGATAATAACTGATCTGCTTCCTGCCTGTCCAGCCTGGCAGATAATTAACAGGTTTTACAACACAGACTAAGAAACAAACCCTCAAATCCTTGCTTTTCTTATTCCGCATTTGTGCAAAGTCGCCCACCTATTACATATTACTAATTCACTTATGTTCATAAGATATATCTGGATAAAATGGTTTAACATGTTTACATGCATGTTTTTACTCAAATGCTAAAATACTGTAACTATTTCAACAAGGATTCAAGTTGCAGCCTCACATAACGCATTTAAAGCCTTTTTGTTTTAATAATCCAAACAATGAAAGAAGACTCGTGAATTAAGTCTCCGAGGTGAAAGACTTAAGGCGTGTCTCACAACTGATAAAGATGCAACACGTTACATCATGCAGCTGATTTATTAGCTGCGACTCTGCAGGCGTCTTATCTTTGAACAAAAGCATCCTTGCAAAGTTTCCTGTCATCATTTTAACGTCCAATAAAGATATTTAACTTTTAATCTGAGGTCCTCATGAGCATAACGACATGTTGGATTCGAAAACACCCAGTACTTTTGTAAACTACCCTTTAAAAGTACACAAATGTACAAAAAGGCCCTCCACTCACTCGGACGTTTGTTCAAATCGAAACGTTTTAATTTGCTAAAGCATTTTGTGCGAGACTGAGCAAGCAGCGGAGCGTGGAGAGGGTTTTTACAGATGCGTGGGATTATTCTGCTTTCTCGACTGTTTGTTTTTCAGCCTCCTGTATCAGGCTGAGGGCTCATCTGTGTGACCTGCTGCTGCGTATTACAGCTCTGATCTGATCTGCTCGGCAGACGACAGGGCCACAGTAAAATCTCTGCTAAGTGCTGGAGTGGAACCAGGAACGAGGGGGGAGAGCTCTGGGTGCAGACTGGCAGGGTGATGTTGATGGTCTAGTGAGCGAAAGATGACCTCGTTTTTATTATTTCGATTTTAGAGGAGGGGGAGCATTGTTTTTTAAGGCCGCAGACATGTTTACACAGCTGGAAGCAGGAATGCACAACCAGTTTGACCTCAGCCTGATCTGATTCCCACTTCTCAGGGTTAAATAGTTTTTCACGAGCAACATCCGACAGTAAATATACATTTAAAATACACAGTAATGCAAGTTTAAAGGATAAAACAAGATATTTGGGAGCTAATGTTGTTGCTTGTGTGTGTGCTCATTTGTCTGTCTGTTAGCAAAATATCTCATGAACTACTGGACAGATTTTAATGAAACTTTCAAAAAATAATAACTGAATGTACAACGAAAACTCCTTAACTTTTTTAGTTGACCCGACTCAAAAAGACCACCACAGCAAGGCAACTTTATAAAACGTGAAAATGGCTGCAGCTCAGTCAGTTTTACAAATATTGATTTAACGTTTGGTGTGGTAGTAGCTGAGAGTCATTCACAACTCGAACTAAGAGTGCTACACAGTTTTACTTAAATATTTAGCAACAACTGGTAGACTAAACATTGTCTTTTGTTATCAAAATAGCCAGTGAATCAACAAAGTCCATGTTCAATAATCCAGGTATACAATCCAACATTTTTCCGTCAGGTCATCTGGACAGTTTTTTTTTGTGCTGAAATGTTTTGCCTTCAATCCGGAAGGCTTCATCAGTTGTGTGTTTCCTTGACGATGAAGCCTTCCGGATCGAAGGCGAAACGTTTCAGCACAAAAAAAAAAAGAAACTGTCCAGATGACCTGACTGAAAAATGTTGGATCCAGTGAATCATTAAGCAGATTTTAATGAGTCGCAGGAAGTAAATACAGACTGCATCCACCTTATTCCTGGGGGTTCTACTGTATAAATAATTATGGGTACAACTTCCTGTCAGACACAGGAAGTAGCAGTAAGCATTGGTTGACCATGGTAGCAGAGCACAGTCTGCAGTTTATTTGAACGTAATTTACATTCAGTTTAGCAGATAAAACACGGTTTTTGTTTTGTTTACATTTATTTAATAACTATGAGGACAGCAGGACAGTGGTGAGATGTGCTGTAGGAGTGACAGATAGCTTCAAGGTGGAGGTGGGAGTGCATCAAGGATCACCTCAGAGCCACTTC